CTGACTGGCGTGAGGTGATACCTGAGTGTGGTTTTGATTTGTATTTCCCTGATAAGGAGCGACGCTGAACATCTTTTCATGTGCCTGTTGGCCATCCGGATGTCTTCTTTAGAGAAGTGTCTATTCATGTTTTCTGCCCATTTCTTCACTGGGTTATTTGCTTTTCGGGTGTGGAGTTTGGTGAGCTCTTTATAGATTTTGGATACTAGCCCTTTGTCCGATATGTCATTTGCAAATATCTTTTCCCATTCCGTTGGTTGCCTTTTAGTTTTGTTGGTTGTTTCCTTTGCTGTGCAGAAGCTTTTTATCTTCATAAGGTCCCAGTAATTCACTTTTGCTTTTAATTCCCTTGCCTTTGGGGATGTGTCGAGTAACAGATTGCTACGGCTGAGGTCAGAGAGGTCTTATCCTGCTTTCTCCTCTTGGTTTTGATGGTTTCCTGTCTCACATTCAGGTCCTTTATCCATTTTGAGTTTATTTTTGTGAATGGTGTGAGAGAGTGGTCTAGTTTCAACCTTCTGCATGTTGCTGTCCAGTTCTCCCAGCACCATTTGTTAAAGAGACTGTCTTTTTTCCATTGGATGTTCTTTCCTGCTTTGTCAAAGATGAGTTGGCCATACGTTTGTGGGTCTAGTTCTGGGGTTTCTATTCTATTCCATTGGTCTATGTGTCTGTTTTTGTGCCATTAACATTTTTATTTTTGAGAGACAGAATGCAAGCGGGGGAGGGGCAGAGAGAGAGGGAGACACAGAATCTGAAGCAGGTTCCAGGCTCTGAGTTGTCAGCACAGAACTCAACGTGGGGCTCGAACCCACCAACTGTGAGATCATGACCTGAGCTGAAGTTGGATGCCTAAGCGACTGAACCACCCAGGTGCCCCTGTGATGAGAACTTTTAAGATCTACTCTTTTAGCAACTTTCAAATATGCAATACAGTATTATTAACCATAGTCCTCATGTTGTACACCATGTCACCATGACATAAGTAGAAGTTGTACCTTTTGACCCCTTTCACAACCATTTTGCCCACCCCCTGGCATCCCCTCCCCCTATCTTGTGACTACCATGAATCTATGAGTTTGTTTTGGGGGGATTTTCATTTGGTTTTTTAAATGCTTATGTATTTTGAGAGAGCAGGCACACTAGCAGGGAAAGGGTGGAGAGAAAGAGAATCTGAAGCAGGTCCTCAGTGAGGATCCCAACTAGAAGCTTGATCCCACGACCCTCAGATCCTGACCTGAGCCAAAATCAAGAGTCAGATGCTCAACTGACTGAGCCACCCTGGAGCCCCTGGCTTTTTTGTTTTTGTTTTTTTCTTTTCATGGTGGTTTTTATTTTAGATCCCACTTATAAGGGAGATCATATAGTATTTGTTTTTCTCTATCTGGTTTCTTAGCATAATGCCTCAAGTTCCAACCGTGTTTTGTGTGTCATCTCAAAATGACTTTCAGTGGCTGATAAAGCGTGTGCATGCATGTATCATGTTTTCTTTATCCAGTTAGGTTGTTTTCATATCTTGCCTTTTGTAAATAATGCTGCAGTGAACATGGGGGTGCATGTACCTTTTCAGTTAGTGTTTTCTTTTTCTTTGGGTGAATAGCTCAGAAGTGGAATTGCTGGGTCAGATGGTAGTTCTGTTTTAATTATTTGAGGAGCCTCCATACCGTTGTCTGTAGTGGCTGTACCGACTTACGTTCTCAACAACAGTGCACGAGTATTCTCTCTTCTCCACTTCCTCGCCAACACTTCTTTCTTGTTTTTGATAATAGTCATTCTAACAGATGTGAGGTGATATTTGCTTTTGATTTGCATTTCCTTGATGACTAGTGATGTTGAACATCTTTTCAGGTGTCTGTTGGCCATCTGTATGTCTTCTTGGGGAAGACCTACAAGCTAAAGTTTTGTTTGGTTGGTTAATTGGTGTTGTTTCAGGTCCTGTGCCCATTTTTAAATCAGATTGTTTCTTTTCCTTTGAGTGGTAAGAGTTCTTCATATATTGGATATTAACCCTCATCCACTATATGGTTTGCAAATATTTTCTCCCATTCAATAGGCTGCCTTTATATTTTGTTGGTGGTTTTTTTTTGCTGTGTAAAAGCTTTTTTGTATGATGTAGTCCCACTTGTTTACTGGTTTTGTTAGGAAAAAACCCAAAAAGTCACTGCCAAGACTGATTGTCAAGGACCACCTGTGTTTACTTCTGGGCGTTTTATGGGTTCAGTTCTTACATTCTAATCTAGTCCATTTTGAAAACTTGATTTTTATGAGGCATTCTGAAAAGTGCAGCTAAATAGGTTATTTGCAGTGTTTTCTGCTGCTTATTTGTCAGGTATTCATCAAAATTTTCGGGGTAGATGAATAAAATTGACTCCTGCTGTTACTCATTTGGCAGCAGATTACCCTATGAAATTTAGTAGTTCACGAAATTGAAAACCAGGGATGCCTGGGTGGCTCAGTCGGGTGAGTGACTTTTGATTTCAGTGTATGTCACGATCCCAGGGTTGTGGGATTGAGCCCTACATTGGGCTCCCCATGCAGCGTGGAACCTGCTTGGGATTCTGTCTCCCTCCCCCACTGTCCCTCTCCCCCACTCACGTGCACACACACACACTCTCTCTCTCTCTAAAAAAAAAAAAAAAAAAAGTTTTTTTAAAAATTTTTAATGTTTATTTATTTTTGAGAGACACAGAGTGTGAGCGGGGCAGGGGCAGAGAGAAAGGGAGACAGAATCCAGAGCAGACTCCAGGCTCTGAGCAAGCTGTCAGCACAGAGCCTGACACGGGGCTCGAATTCACAAACTATGAGATCACGACCTGAGCTGAAGTTGGACGTGGTTGAACTGAACCACCCAGGCGCCCCTAAAACAAAAATAAATATAATTTGAAATCTATTCCTCTGAGTAATCTTGAAGAGCTAGATGCTAAACAAATTGGAAGTGATTTAGCCAAGTCTTTTCAATTGTGTCTACATTGTGACTTAAACTCGGATTTCCTAGATTCCAGAATTGTGCTTAAAGCACACTTCATTGAATCAAGAACCATCGGTTTGATTCTTGTTCACAGCTCTACTGTGAAATGACTTGGGATGAAATGGAAAGTAATAGTCAATAGGAAGTTTTATTATTTGGGTTCCATTTATTCATATTTCTTCAGTAGTTGGTATATAGCTTCAACCACCACATAGTTCAACGGTATGGTCATTTGAAAACATTTTGTTTTGGGGCTCCTGGATGGTTTAGTTGGTTAAGTATCCAACTTCCGTTCAGGCCATGGTCTCGCGGTTCATGAGTTTCAGCCCCACGCAGGGCTCTGTGATGACACCTCGGAGCCTGGAGCCTTCTTCAGATTCTGTTTGTGCCTCTCTGCCCCTTCCCAATTCTCACTCTCTCAAAAATAAACATTAAAAAATTTTTTCTAAAATAAACATTAAAAATTGTTTTTAATTAAAAAAACATGTTTTAAGTAGATAGGCACACACAAATATTTAAAGCTTATCTTGACATGAATGAGTGAATGAATGAAGACACACTGTCAGGTGGACTGAGTTTAAATCCTTTCCAATTTGAAGTTTGTGATTCCCACAAAACTGGTGCAAACAAAATATTTTAATTTTTTTTTATGTTTTATTTTTTATATTTGAGAGAGAGACAGAACAAGTAGGGGAGGGGCAGAGAGACAGAGGCAGAATCTGAAGCAGGCTCCAGGCTCTAAGCTGTCAGCACAGAGCCCGATGCGGGGCTCAAACTCCCGAACCGTGAGATCATGACCTGAGCTGAAGTCGGACACTCAACCGACTGAGCCACCCAGGTGCCCCACAAACAAAATATTTTAAATGTAAACATCCAGTGCAGCTTAACAAGTTACATTTTCTTTTTTTTTTTTAATTTTTTAATGTTTATTTTTTAGAGAGAGTACACACACACGAAAGGAGGGAGGGAGAGGCAGAGAGACATAGAGACACAGAATCTGAAGCAGGCTCCGGGCTCTGAACTGTCAGCACAGAGCCAGATCTGGGGCTCGAACTTAGGCACCATGAGATCATGACCTGAGCCAAAGTCGGATGCTTAACTGACTGAGCCACTGAGACACCCCAACAGGCTACATTTTCAAATACTATGGTCAGAAGGATTCATTACAAATAATAGTATCAACAGTGGTATCAGTAATTGTTGGCTTAGTAGACTGAATGTTTGCAAATAAATAGGTCGAAACAATTTTAATTCTTAAAAGAGTTGATCATTTTACCTTTTTTTTAAAGTTCATTTATTTTTTAGAGTGTGCATGGAGGAGAGGCAGAGAGAAAGAATCCCAAGCCCTGATCATTTTACCAATTTTAAGAGGTTGCTGTCTGCAGCTAAATCCTTAAGCTAAAGCTTTGCTTGGTTAGCTAATTGGTTTTTCTTTCTTTCTTTCTTTCTTTCTTTCTTTCTTTCTTTCTTTCTTTTTTTGATAGAGGGAATGTAAAGTGAAAGACTGGTTAGTTTGGGGGCACCTGTGTGGCTCAGTCAATCCAGCCTTTTGGGATATAGGTAATAAGAATACACTTAATTTGAGTCATTTAGGGAAGCTGGCTAGCTCTATATTGATAATTTAAAAAAAATTTTTTTAGAGAAAGTGTGTGCAAGCAGGAGAAGGGCAGAGAGAGAGGTGGAGAGAGAGAATCTTAAGCAGGCTCCATGCTCAGCACAGAGCCTGATGTGGCTTGATCCCACAGCCCTGGGATCATGACCTGAGCTGAAATGAGTCGGAGGCTCAACCAACTGAGCCACCCAGGTGACCCTACATTCGTAATTTTTAAAAATATAATGCAAAAGTATAATAGAATAATGAACTTCTAAGTGCATACAGCCCAGCTTCAAAAATTAAAAACATTTTTGGGGCACCCGGGTGGCTCAGTTGCTTGAGCCTTTGACTTTGGCTCAGGTCATGATCTTGAGGTTTATGAGTTCAAGACCACATCAGGCTCACTGCTGTCAGGGTGGAGCCTGCTTCAGATCCTCTGTCCCACTCTCTGCCTTTCCCCTGCTTGTGCTCTCTCAAAAATAAATAAAACATTCTGCAAATTTTGTTTTGTCTCTTCCTCAACCTATTTCTTGTTGTGTTTAAATACAAATGCCAGATACCATATCATTTCACCCATGATATTTCTGTATACCTTTTAACAGATGAGTTTTAAAAAATGTAATCCATTGTCATACCTAACCAAATAATTCCTTACCTGATATTGAGTCTATATTTAAGGTTCATCTTTAAAAAAAAAGTCATTTGGGGCGCCTGGGTGGCGCAGTCGGTTAAGTGTCCGACTTCAGCCAGGTCACGATCTCGCGGTCCGTGAGTTCGAGCCCCGCGTCAGGCTCTGGGCTGATGGCTTGGAGCCTGGAGCCTGTTTCCGATTCTGTGTCTCCCTCTCTCTCTGCCCCTTGCCCGTTCATGCTCTGTCTCTCTCTGTCCCAAAAATAAATAAACGTTGAAAAAAAAAATTAAAAAAAAATTTAAAAAAAGTCATTTTATAGTTGATTGGTTTGAATCAGGACCCAGTCAGGGTCCACACATTACTAATATGTCTCAGGTCTCTCAGAATCACAAGATGTATCTTTTGCCCCCCACATTCTGTTTCTTTGCTAATGAAACTGGGTCATTTGTCTTAAAAGAATTTCCCATATTCAATATTTCACCATTGGAGTCCATTTCTCTAGTTCTCACTGATCCTGTAAACTGATGGTTGATGAAGGGAAAATTTTTAAATAGAATTCCTTCTAGTAAACACAGAAGTTTTACTAGAAATACAGAATGAAATACAAAATGTTAGAAAGACATTATGTTGTAACTCTTAATGAAATAATGGATCCAGGGGTGCCTGGGTGGCTCCATTGGTTAAGTGTCCGACTTCGGCTCAGGTCATGATCTCACGTGGGCTCATGCCCCACCTCAGGCTCTGTGCTGACAGCTGAGTCTGGAGCCTGCTTCAGATTCTGTGTCTCCCTCTCTCTCTGCCCCTGCCCTGTCATGTTCTGTCTCTGTCTCTCAACAATAAATAAATGTTAAAAAAAAAATTTTTTTTTTTAAAACATCTAGCAGATTACCTGGCATTTAGTGGTCCCTCTAATAAATAGCAGTTATTTTGTTTTCCATAAATGTTTTAACCCAGATGCCACCCACCACATTTTTTAAAAATTTAACAAGGGGCGCCTGCCTGGGTGGCTCAGTCGGTTGGGCCTCTGACTTAAGCTGAGGTCATGATCTTGCGGTCTGTGAGTTCGATCCCCATGTCGGGATCTGTGCTGACATCTCAGATCCTGGAGCCTGCTTAGGATTCTGTGTCTCCCTGTCTCTGCCCCTCCCCTGCTCATGTCTCTGTCTCTGTCTCTGTCTCTGCCTCTCTGTCTCGCAAAAGCAAATAAACATTTTTTTAAAAATTAAAAAAAATTTTTTTAACAATGTTAATTGTTCCTCTTTATGGCACCAGAAAGTACTAAGCTACGAAGAATTCTATTTTTGACCCCCTAAAATTGTAGCTTTTATTGTGACATTTCACTGAAATGTCACGGGGAATAGAATTTTCAAAGAAATTTTGTTTGGTTTACCAGTCAAGAATGTCTACTGTTCAGATACATTTTCTTAGATTCACTCCTTTCCTGGTTTTAGTTTGGTTTTAATTATTGCAATTTGGGGGGAAATCATACATAATTAAAAGACCAAGACATAGATTTAATTATGAAGATTTGAAACCGCCTTAAATATCTGTTGAGATAAGCCTCTCATAGGCTTAGTTCTTTCAGATACTGTTAGCAGCAGTTACATGTAATGAGATGAACTAAAGATAAGTTGTAGATTTTGGGCAATTCCCATGCTCCCCCTCCACCCCACCCTGTGACTTAAAATGTTTCCCATTAGAAATATAAATGAAAAAATTACTGGGGTGCCTGGGTGGCTCAGTCAGTTAAGCATCTGACTTCGGCTCAGGTCATGGTCTCCCAGTTCAGGAGTTGGAGCCCCACATTGGGCTCTGTGCTGACAGCTCAGAGCCTGGAGCCCGCTTTGGATTCTGTGTCTCCCTCTCTCTCTCTCTCTCTCTCTCTCTCTCGGCCCCTCCCCGACTCACACTCTGTCTCTTTCTCTCAGGAAATGAATAAACATGATAAAAGAAAAAAAGAAATATAAATGAAAATTACTTTTTTTTTTTAACTTAAAAAATCCCATGCTTTTAAAAAGCTGCCGGATTTTCTCTTAATTAAAGACAACATGGGCAGATATAATTTTGAATAAATGACAAGAACAGGCCTAAATGACATTTACAGTATGCCATCAGAAGAGGAATTTAATTTTAAAAGATCTTACTATTTCTTTTTTATATTTTTATTTTTTAAACTTTTTAATGATTTTTTATTTTTGAGAGAGAGAGAATGAGCAGGGGAGGCAGAGAGAGAGGGAAGACACAGAATCCGAAGCAGGTTCCAGGCTCTGAGCTGTCAGCACAGAGCCTGATACGGGACTCCAACCCACGAACCATGAGATCATGACTTGAGCTGAACTTGGACACTTAACTGATTGAGCCACCCAGGTGCCCCTCACACTGCCTTTTCTATGCAACAATTTCTTCAGGTCATTGAAGCTTAGCCCTTTAAGCCTCATAGCTTAATTTAAATCATTTTCACTGATAATTAAAAAATATGAGTAAGTACCTTTGCCTTCTTAAACAACATTTTGAACATATGTGAATGTTTTCAGTGTTAACATTACTTATGATCTTCTGCAGTGGTCATCAACCCTATCTGACCCAAATAATTCCTTTTTGATTTTTGACTTACTATTTTTTATATAAAATTTTTTATTATTTATTTTTGAGAGAGAGGCAGCCTGTGAGCAGAGGAGGGGCAGAGGGAGAGGGAAACACAGAATCTGAAGCAGGCTCCGGGCTCTGAGTTGTCAGCACAGAGCCCGACGTGGGGCTCAAACCCCCAAACCGTATGATCATGACCTGAGCCGAAGTCAGACACTTAACACACTGAACCACCCAGGCAACCCTTATTATTATTTTTGAGAGAGGGAGGGATATAGAGAGAGGGAGGGAGGGAGGGGGGAGAGAGAGAGAGAGAGAGAGAGAGAGAGACTCCCAAGCAGGCTTCATGCTCAGCACTGAGCCTGACGCAGGCTCAATCCCACAAACCGCGACATCATGACCTGAGCCAAAACCAAGAGTTAGATGCTTAACCAACTGAGTCACCAAGGTGCCCCAATAATTCCTTTTTTTTTTTTTAATTTTTTTTCAACGTTTATTTATTTTTGGGACAGAGAGAGACAGAGCATGAACGGGGGAGGGACAGAGAGAGAGGGAGACACATAATCGGAAACAGGCTCCAGGCTCCGAACCATCAGCCCAGAGCCCGACGCGGGGCTCGAACTCACGGACCGCGAGATCGTGACCTGGCTGAAGTCGGAGGCTTAACCGACTGCGCCACCCAGGCGCCCCAATTCCTTTTTTAATAAAACATTTTATAACACCCTTTTATCCTGACGAATCTGAGCTCTTGTCAACCAGCAGGCTGCATTGCTGCACACTGCTGTTCACGGCCACAGGGAGGCGCAGGGGTACCACAAGGTGCCTGGCATATCCCTCCCTGCCCACACTGTATAGGAGCAACCCCACCTCCTCCTGCTGGTCAGGGTCAGTTACCCCCACCCAAATGATGACTCATTGACTTCAGTCCCCCGGACACAGAGCTCAAAGTGCCCCGGGTGGCAGCCAGAGCTTGTAGTCGAATGGCCCCTTGGTGTGACCCCTTTGAGGGGCGCCTGTGTGGCTCAGTCAGTTACACGTCCCGCTCTTGATCTTGGCTCGGGTTATGATCTCTCATTTCGTGGGATTGAGCCCTGTGTTGGGCTCTGCACTTGCAGAGCAAAGCCTGCTTGGGATATTCTCTCTTCTCTCTCCTCTCTTTCTGCTCCTCCCCTGTTCTCTGTCTCTCTCTCTCAAAATAAATAAATAAACTTAAAAAAAAAAAAAAAAGAGCATAGCCCCTTGGAGAACTAGGATCTCCAGACTTTCAGGACCTACAGTTGGGAGGACAGCAAGTTCAAAATCCCCCAGCGAGTCATGGGGGGTGATGGTGTGTTCGGGCTACTCTCGCTCCTACTCGGTTCCGAGATTCCTGTATTACCTGGAACAGAGCATCATGTAGAGGTTCCTTATTTAATGCATATGCCACGACCTGAAAGGTGGCCCTGCAGCCTTTCAGAGGACAGTAGCCCTCTCTTATCCATGTTTCACATTCTGGGGTTTCAGTTATCTGTGGTCCACCACGGTCTAGAAGGAGATGATCCTTCTGGTGTATCGTTAGAAGGTCAATAGTAGCCTAACGCTATGTCACAAACCCCTGTGCCATTCACCTCCTTTCATCTCATCACGTAGGCATTGTATCATCTCACATCGTCACAAAAAAAGAAGCGTGAGCATAGTGGAATAGATTTTGAGAGAGACCACAGTCACATAACTTTTGTTACAGTATCCTGTTATGACTGTTCTATTTTTTATTGTTGTGAATCTCTTGCTGTGCCTAATTTATGAATTAAACTTTATCACAGGAATGTACATACAGGAAAAACCACTGAGTATCTACAGGGTTTGGTGTGATCTGCAGTTTCAGGCATCCCCTGGGGGGGGGCGGTCCTTGGAATATATCCCCCGTGGAAAAAGGGGCACCATTGGGTCGCCTGCACCTTTGAAATGTAGTTCCGGTATTCTGTGAGCCTGGCTGCTTCCGGCTGGTGGAGGATGTGATACAACCAGTGGATTCCAAGGTCATGGGCTCACTCCCACTGTAAAGTGGGCCCCCTGCTCCAACGCTACGTTGTAGGAGATCCCATATCTATGGATCGGGCCGCCTGTGAGGTTAGTGGTGCTGGCTGAGGCTCTGCAGACAGGAAAGCCAAGCTTATACCTGGAATAGTTAGCTGTCCCCATGAGCGTCAAACTGCTTGCCCTTCCAGGCTGGAGGGAATCCAAACTAGCTGATTTGCCACCCAATGGCCAGTTGGTCTCCCTGAGGAGTAGTGCCTGTTGCTGGCACGTTAGCCATTCAGAGGCAGCAGTAGCTGTATTGAGCGTTTACCAACAAACGTCACCAGCAGCTTAGGTGATGTGGTGGGTCTTCTCTTTTTATTCTGCCACACAGCTGCCTTATATCTCTCTGACTGTCTGTCCTTAGCAGGCTGGTCTCTTGCATGCACTGCATTGTCGGGGCTCCCTGCCCTGTGGGTTTGGTCAGTGGGAGGTAGGAGACCCAGCAGAGCAGAGAGCAGGAGGAGAGAAAGACTATCCCCTCAGTTCCCACCTTCCAACTCATGGTTTTGCAGAGGTGATGTCCCTTGACCAAAGGTCACAGCTCCTTGTATGCAGAAATTTTTTTTTTAATTAAAAAAAATTTTTTTAATGTTTATTTTTGACAGAGAGAGAGAGAGAGAGAGAGAGAGAGAGACAGACAGAGAGCATGAGCAGGGGAGGGGCAGAGAGAGAGGGAGACACAGAATCGGAAGCAGGCTCCAGGCTCTGAGCTGTCAGCACAGAGCTCAACACGGGGCTTGAACTCACAGACCACAAGATCATGACCTGAGCCAAACATTCAACCAACTGAGCCACCGAGGTGCCCCCCCCCCTTTTTTCAAGCTTATTTTATTTTGAGAGAGAAAGAGAGAGAATGAGCAGAGGAGGGGCGGAGAGAGAGGGAGACAGAGGACACGAAGTGAAGTGGGCTCTGTGCTGAGGGGTGAGAGCCCCATGCGGGGCTCAAACTCATGAACCCAATGAGATCATGACCTG